TTTTATTTTCACTTATCTACTGTCAGAATCCAAAGCAAACTCACCTCTATGGACGGATATCCCCTGGAAGCAGGTACAGTACTTACAGAACCTCTTCGCACTCACCACTTTCGCGCCTCCTGACCACGAAGCTCTCCTGGGGTTCAGACCTCCCTCCTTCTGGTTGAGGTTGGTGCCTTTATGTGAAACTGGGAGAGATTTTTCTCTCAGGGTGGGGGGGTGCAATTGCCTTGGGGAGGGTTGTCCGAGTACAGCTTCTGCCACAGGAGCAGCTGCTGCATGAGGGATTTTCCTCAGAAAAAAACTCTTTCACCTGTAGGCTTTCTGGGAGGTGAGCCACTCGGTTTGCTACCCCATGAGGGATTATCTCTCCTCAAAAGGAGACTTTCTTCACCTGTGGAAGGTTTCCCAGGAGGTGTGAAAATTGAGCTTTCAACCATGTGAGAAAGAGTCTCCACCCCACCCCCGCCCCCCTGGTGAGCGGTGGGAGGATGGGGGGGTGGGAAGTGCCCTGGGGGCCACAAGGATTCTTCCATGCTGGGTGAATACTCATTTTGTTTGTGCTCCTTTGTTTTCTTTACTCATTTCAGTTGTATTGTTGTCATAAGAAAGAGGTTTCATAGGAGAGGACACAGGCATCAACCCTATAAACCCGTTTTCCAGGCCAGCCCTCTGCACACTGACGAGTTTATGGATTTCTTCAGACTAGCATCTGTTAGACAAAATTTGCTATGAGTCCTTATATAAAAACTGAATGAGATTTTTCCTTTCATCTTGTTCTATGTCCCGAGAGCTTGTGACCGGCCCAAACATTTTCTCTGGTTTCCAGAGAAAATGTAAGGTACACTTACCTAGGGACATGACTGAGGATTCCAGGCAGCTGTACCCACTAGAACAGAAACATAGGAATTTACCTTGGGCTAGAGACTGGTCAGCTGTAGCTAATCAACTGACATCGTTTCACTGTTTTATCCAATTGTGCCAGCTCTCAGGGGAGTTTGTTATGATGGGTCCTAGAACAGAAGAGGCCTTTGGTGTCTCAGTCTTCGTTGCTTTACCATCTGCAGCAATGAGGAATTTTTACTGTCTTAGACTACTCTGGGAATGAATTTTCTGGATCTTGTTCTTTGTCTTTGGTTGAGCCATAAAAGGCTTATTAGTTTGAGTGGCTATGAGATTAATAGATCCTGCTGTTAGGTAGTTAGGTAGCCATGAGTGACAGGAGCGAAGGCCCACCTCTGTAACCATAGGAATGACAACACTGACATCCCAACCCAAAGGGCCTCCACTAAGACCTCCCAGAAAAAAAAAAAAATCATTTTTTAAATAACAATACCCCTACATCTTGGAGTACAAGGATGTATAATAACCAGTTTAGACCAGCCACAAAGGCTTGCATGCTTGTGTATGAGGAGTACTCCAATCTTTTCACCTCAGCCTCATTATACCATCATTATAACGTCATGCATATGTCCAGAAGTTCATGAATTAATTTAACAGACTGAATTGGCTTAAAACAAATAAATGCTTATATAAATTAAGGACTGGCTTTTCTAAAATTCTCAGAAATATAGAAACTAATGTTTTTCAAGTTCATGTGATTTCAGCTTAATCTTTAGTAAATAAAAGCCAGTTTAAGTTTGTTGGTTTAGTTAAAACAGACATATTTTTAAAGTTATCAGTATTAGGTATATAATACTTTTATTCTACCTAGGCTTATAAATTTTTCAGCAAAAATAACAGAATAATGGCTGACTTGGTCATACATCTCATGAAGTTTTTGTGGGTAAAAACATAATTTGTGGGTAAACATAATTATTGAGAACAAGTAAAATAAATACATGCAGGTGGGTTAAAAAGACTTTTATGTGAAATTGAGGCAGGATAGATAGCTCAGGGGCCCCTTCCCTTCCAGGATATGACTCAGGATTTTTTTTTTTTTAGACCTCCTCCTAGTTTAGCTCCAGCAAGGAAAGATAAGCCAAAACCAGTCTTTTCCAGCTTAGACACCATCTTTGGTTAAGGCATAACCTTTAGCTAATTATAATATTATAATCTCATCCACATTGCAAATACTGCAGCTCCCATTATGCACCTGACGTCATGACAGTTCCTGAAACACCACATAAGAAAGAAAGAGTGGGAAACTGAGCTCCCTGCCCACTGGGAGGAGACAACAAGGCTACATCAGTGCCATGTTTCTGAGCTCTGCCCCCAAGCAGAACAAAAGTCTAGAATCGAGATATCCTTGCACAACTTTCTTTCTCTTTCTGTCTGTCTCTGTCTCTGTCCCTATTTCTATCTGCCTAAAATCCCTTCTTGAGTATGTACTTTCACTTCAATAACTTTGTGCTTTCCTGCTTGCTATTCATCTTGCCCTTGAATTCTTTCTCATGGCATAAGACAAGAACCTGGTTGCCAGAACTCTGAGATTTCTGGCAACAAAACTCTTTAGTAATAATTCTATGTTATGGTATACATACTTCAAAGATTGACTTATGGATGCTTCCTTGGTAAAATCAGCATGGTACCTTGCTTATAGAGTTCCCAGCAGCTCTACCAGGTTGACCTATGCATTTAGCTTTCTCTGCTTTTGATATCCAATTAATTAAAGGAAACAAAGAAATGAAACATAAGGATTTACAACCAGGCAATTACCTATACTGGAAAAGGTGAGACAGCATAGGGATTTGGGCCTGGGCCAAAGGAATTCCAGAGGGCCAGGAAGAACTTCGGATAAGCAGACCATGGATAAGCTGACCACAGAATGCTACCCCTCCCCCCACCACTCCTTATGGAAAAATTCAGAAGTAGCTGATTTTATCTCCGTTCTAACCATTTACTTTCTTGCAGATGTCAAAACCACTGTTCCACATGCACAGTTGATCAAGGTTCGACTGCTATAACTATAGCGTAAACTTAATAGAATTTGTCCGGAGAATTTTCCGGGGTTTCCTCTCGATTTCTATCTTAAAGAACCCAAGAACTCCCAATACTGGTAAAAAAGACACCTTCAGGACCCTTAACGACCAAGATGGAAAGGACAATATCAGGTGCTATTAATAATTCGAATGTAGCAACAGAGGATTTGAAATGAAAAATTACTAGGAAGTGAAGCAGACAGCATTTGTTGTGGACAACTAACCCAAGATTCTAGACCAAGCCTGTATAATCGATACCTTCATTTTTCCTTTTTTAGTTTCTTCCTATCTCACAAATAATATGAGAGGCCAAACACTCACTATAATAATTATTATTGTCTTTTTACCTTAATTTCTGCCTGCAAAAATAACTCAGCATTGAACATCAACTTTAAATCTACTTCATACATCAAACATGCAACTAGTTGTACACAGAGTCAAGAATGTTCAATGACTGGTGGTGTCAACCCCAGTGAAGGTGCCAGATTTGAAAAGATACTTTTTCTTTGAGTAGGCATTGTGATAAATAACTACATAATTAGATATTTATCAAAAACATTAGGGAAAATTGCTGGAGCTACCGCCAAAGCAATAGCCAACCAGGAAAAATCTTTAAATTCCTTTGCGCTACTTGTGTTAGATAATAAAATTGCTCTTGACCATGTCCTAGCTGAACAAAATGGGGTTTGCTCTGTTGGTAATACCTCTTGTTGTACTTAGATAAAACACCTCTTGTGAAATAGAGATGGAACTAGATAAAATCTGGGCAAATGCTAAATGGTTAAATACTGTGCCCGCTGACACCTCATGGTTATCTGATATCTTCAGCTGGCTACCCTCAGGTAATGCCTCCTGGTTCAGATTTCTTCTTCACATTGGACTCAATATTTTGTTATTATAGAAATTTTCATTGCTATAAAACTGTCTTACATAGTTTGATGTTATAAGGTCACAACTCAAATAATGGTTGCTTGACATTTTGAGATGATCACTAAGGCCTATGAGACTTCATGTGAGAAATTTCAAGAAACTACAGAAGATATTCACCCTTATAAGAATGTAACAGTAAAGGCTTCCTTTGTTCTGGTGTTCTTGTTGCTCAAATGTGGCCTACAGATCCTAGAAAACCACATTCCCTCCTATGTGGGACATGACATACCAGGAATGAGCCTTCCTGTCAATGAGGGACCAACAATGCTTTTAATAACTGATCAGAATTGCTTTATGGTGATTAAACAATGATGCTTTCAAGAAAGATCTCAATCGAAAGGGGAAAATGTGAAAAATAATAAAAACAGAGTGACTTGAAAATGAGTTGGAGCTGCCATCCCAAAGGAATTGCCTTACATGTCTTACTCTTCAAACCTTTCGAATGTTAAAGCTGGGCAAAATAACCTTTGTACTGGGCCTAAAGCATCATTGTACTCCAAACAACTATTTGCAAAGATAACAAGAAGACAGAAATTATGACTACCAGGCTGAAAATAAAAGACATTCTTTAGAATTAGCATCACTAAGTTATCTTATCTGCACCTATAGCAATTCCTTCCTTCTATTCATATAATTGTTCTCCTGCCCTTCCTCAAAAATACCTTGTCTTCACCTCCTAATTGGAACATTATTTGGGTTTCTGCCTGAAACAGTGCTTCCCAAAAAGCTGTTCATTTGGATCTTGTATAAAGGCTTGCTGCATCTCGCTTTGGCCTTTTATTTTTAGGTTAACAAGACACATATATATATTCAAGAAAATGGCATTTTATATTTTACTAACTTTATATAAGCAGAATAACACTATTTTCTCAATAAAACCATCCTACTGCTCTTTGTTGGACATATTTTTTTCTAGCTTTGAACCTTTGAATGATAGCATTTCATTCATACTCAAATAAATAATTCTTACAATCTGTGTTGTTTTATATAATTTGGACATTTATTTTACTCTCCTGCCTGGGGTGATTAAAAGCAATCTGGTGTCAGGGACTCCAACTTACTCATCTTTGTATTCCCCACAGTACCCAAAGAAATAAAATAATAGGCACTTATTTATTTGAAGAGTTGAACAGAAGTGCTTGACACTCATAAATGCATAAAGTTACTTTATTTTAAGTATACATTTAATTTTGAAAAATATAAATGCTAAAATATCTCATCTTCTTCATCTCTTAATTCCATAAAAGTCACAATAGAAAGCTTCATAAAACTGTAAAATACTATAATGTTATAGGAATTTTAGGTTTTATATTGGAAAAAAATTATTAGTAATATATTGAAACGTTTTCTGTTCTTTATTATTTTGTTCCACCATGTTGATCTACTTCATTTAAAATAAAAAGATGCATCGTTTCTCCAAAGTTAATAAAGACTTAATAGAATAAAAATAAGAATATCTGAAAGTGCGTATTGATTCTGAAAAGTAATGTGTACGAATATGTACCAGCCATGAAAATGGCTAAAAAGAGGCAACTATTCACTCTTTTCACATTGTAGGAATGGGACAAAGTTACTTCTGGCTCTAAAAGTTTCACTGGATGACATTAGCCCTGAGTTGCAATATTTGCCTAGGAAATAGAATTCAGGATTTTTATATGTACCCACAGAACACAAAGAAATGAGCCAAGAAATAGGACATATCCAAATATCTGGTCAAAACACAACTTGATTGGTTCACATTTATCACACAACTTTATTTCAGGCTACAATGAAGTTCAATGAAATTATCATCTGAAAACTCCCAAGGCCCTTCAGATAATCAAGTGCCATAAAATATCATTTGATTTTGTTCAGCTACTTGGCGCCACTAGGCTTCATGCTCATGCTGTGAAGAGCAAATGTAAGATATCAAGGAAAAAATAAGAAAATTTCATGTTCTTGCACCAAAATTATTAAGTGGTATGAAAAGTCTTGAAGAAAGCTTTGTCCCATCCCTGAACAATGTCAACCTCTATAATACAACTCAAATGATTTTGTTTTGTTTTTAAAGATAGTCAGCAGTCAATACAATTCAAGTACTTTAACACAGTTAAAAAAAAAAAGGAACCAAAACTTGGAAGACAATCTTTCTCTGTATTAAACACCAATATACAGCTGATAAAAGATTTACTCTGTGTGTGTTGGTGCATGTGCATAAAATATACACAAACTGAATTACTTAAGGCAGACGTTTACTCCCCCTCCCCCATTCTTTGAGGTAGGGGGCTGATTAGAGAGGATGTTTTTCCTATTCCTTTAAAGTTCCATCTCCCTACCCCTACTCAGTTGTTTGACTAGAAGAGTCAGGGACGCTACTGTCTATGGCACACAAAATAATTAGGGTTCCAAGTCCTAGTTTTACATAGTAGAGAAGAGTGACTTTTATTGAGGAAAACAGTGCCTCCAAGAGATTTTTCAAATGCAAAACCAGAGACTTTCATGTTCCCAGAAGGCAAACTTTTGGCCTAAAGATCTTTCCTTCTAACAACAAGTCTGTACAACCACACAACTTCTGGTTAACAATTCTGAGTGTACACTTAGTCCTTTACTGCTAACAACTTAAATATTTTTTCTCTGTATTTATATCAGAGAGAACACTTTGTAAAAATTTACCAGTGTTTTGTGTGTGTCCAGTTTACATAGAAGCAAAACCACCCAATCTAGTTAGTTCTTTGATAATAAGTAAATTCAATTAAGATACAGATAATTTGGTGGCTCAAGTTTTGTTTACTTGGTAACTACTGCTGTTTCTCTGAAAGTGATGATTTTTTAAAGATTTCTCTGGGTTCCAAAATATTGAAAAGCTTTGATAATAACAGTTCTTTTTAGCAAACGTAAGGCACTACTCTGCATTCATATTATGAGTATCAACCTTCAATCACAGAATATGGATCATAAATGGAGGTGCAGATAGCTTTTAGATCTACTCAAAGGCTGAAATATGGAGTTAGGTTGTACTAGTTCTTTGAAAAGGATGGAAATCCATTGTCAGAAAAATAAATTATTATATCTAGAGATTGTATAAAAGTGAACAAAAATGTCATTAATTTAACAAGATGTAGGTTAGGCTGAACATATTATGTGTGGCTTTTAAACATTTTATTGATACTTCCATCAGTAAAGAAAAGGGAAAACTTTAAAAAAGGGGGGAAGAACCTTCTGATATAGTTTTACATTAGGATAATGAAAAACTAGAAAATATAGAATAATTATTTTAAGGATAGCTATAAATAAAAATGTGATGCCAAAATTTGGCACATGAGATTTAAACCAATAGCATGTAATTTGCCACTTTCATTTAAATGAAAAAATTGCAAGTCACTTATATCTAATTTGCATGAAATTGAAAGTTTTAAAATTATCAGATACTATAAAAATAACAGCTAATTCAGGATAATAAATTTTTTATAATCGAACTTCAAGAGGACAGAATTATAATTTAATTAATATAAGAATGAATAGGAGTCAATGTGTGTGCATTATGAAACCAAAATAGGTGGTTTCAACCTGCTTCTAGACCTATAACAATCTGTTTTAGTTAAGATATATCACAAAATGTCATTATATGAACCCAAAATATAGATTCAACATTTAAATGTTTTTAAAAAGATTCACAATATATAATGCAACCTATTAAAAACATTATATTTAAATAACATGCTAAATTTAGTTAATAAAGATCTATTTTTTTTCTAATTTTCAATATGGTACTTTGAAGTACACACATACATATATATCCTAAACATCCCTATCACAAGGCATAATTTCCTTTCAATTCTAAAAAATGTGTAAGTATTGTTAAAATGTATACACATATACCTCTACAGATCTATCTGTAGTCCCATAAACACTTTATGGATGTATAAATGGTCTATGGATATTTCTGTGGATTTTGTACTGTAAATATGGGTTATTGTATCAGTGATGGTGACTGATGTCTGAGTAATAAAATATATTTACCCTCATTTGCATAATGGTAATTCTCTTGGCCCTCTGATAGATTTTTCATATGTGGTTTGGGTTTTATAAAAACTGACATAAGAGGCTGGATAACTTTGCCCTTCGCCTGCCATCACTCTGTCTCTAACTCTGCACATTGTGCATCAACCACACACAGAGTACATACACAACACACAAATATTTCAAAATGAAAAAAAGATGTCTAACAATACTGTATAGGACATCGACATGGTAATACAATCAGCATCTGTGCCAGGATCCTACTATTATCAAAACATCAGTCATTCTCATTACATAGGAGCTTCTTCTCCCTTCTCCTCCCATCTTTTTCATAGAACAGATAAATTTCTTTTAAAGAAAGGGAAAAATGGATGCTTAGAAACATGGTGTTTTTCATCTGATCCAGCCCTCTGGCTTACCCTAGAGATTGTGTACTTGTATGTATGTATGTGTGTTTGTGCATGTAAAAATCACATTATATACAATACAATTTTTACAGAAAGCCTGGCAGCTACAAATAAGAGGTAGAACTACTCACAACTATGTTTCCTGCTGCAGGAAAAAATTCATTTTCTTTACAGTAATTAAAAAAAAGTTTAAAAAATTGACAAAAAAATAAGTTGCAGGTTAGGCCCCATAATTTAAACAACAAAATCTAGGAAGAAAAATATTCTTCAAATGTACTCAACAGATAAGTTCATTAAGGGTTAAAAAAAAGTTGCATAGGAAAAAGGGACATTCCAGCACTTGCTACAATGATGGCAATAGTTTCTCTACAGGGAGTAAAGTACCTCTAGTTTTTCTTCTTTTGATAACTCTAGGATTAGGGTTTACAAGCAAGAGCATTAGAATAGCAGCACTTTTCCAGTCCTGGAGAGCTCTATAAGCGAGAAGAGACTTTGTCTGGAGGTCAAGGTTTGTTCTACCAGACAGAAAGACAAGCCAACTAGCACAGCTCCAAAGCTTAAGTTGTAAGTTCCTTCAATATTTGAATAAAAGGTGTTATAAATTCCTTAATACTTTTGACTCCTGCTTAATAAAGGAAAATGGCAGGGTCTGTGTGTATCTTGAGTGACAGAGGAATTTGGTTGTCAGAGGACACATCTGAAAGTATAAGAACAAAAAGGGGATCCTTCAGATGTTGTTTTCAAGGAATGGTACACTATTGTCTTAATTTTACCTATGCAAAAGAGAAGCAGAGAGAGCGTTGTATTATTAGGCCAATGGTCAATAACTAAACCAAAACAAAAATTAGAAAATAAACGATCAGAAAAAAACAAAAACATTAACAATAAAAACTGTTATTTTTAAGAAAGACAAACAGGTTACAATGTAGTTTCTGTTCCCTTGCTCCTCCAGAAATAATCATTGTCTTCAGGCTCAAGTTCTATTCTAATTTGAGGCACAACTTTTACTGGAGTTCTAGGAGGCCTAGAGAAAAAACAAAAAGAGAAGAAAAGAAATAGTAAGTAAATCAGATTTCCTTTATCATTTAGCTAATATTTATGCATTGTACAGAAGCCAAATGTGTTCTTTGTTCTCTTTGAAAATTTACCTCCTCCTTCTGTGTTAAAAACAAACATTTTTAAATGGGATGAAGGTACCAATAGAGTCAAGGTATTTAAGTAAAATTTTCATTAACTAGCATACATAGATAAAAAAAAAAAAAAAGAAGAAGAAGAAGAAGAAGGCAGACTGCCAGGTGGGTGATACTGTTAGAAATTAAAAGACAAAAAGATTTACATAAAGAAAATATTCAGAGATTTCACTCTTGAAAATCAAGTAGGATCTGGAATCTCTCAGAGCTTTCAGGAAGGAAAGGAAAGGACAGGAAAGGAAGGAAGGAAACTCCTGGAGGACAGCTGCCAGGAAATGCAGTTACCCCGTAAATCATAGATGATACTTAAATGATAAAAGCTGACATTGCTCCTGGGCTTTACCTTAATGATATTGAAAGGTTACAATATTTCTAAGAGTAAGTAGATTAGTTCTCTTAGGTTTTCTACCAGTGAAAACTGGAACAAGGTTTGGTGGTTGAGTAACTTATTTAGGATGAATTGTAGAGAGGAGGAGAACAAGGTGTTCTGCCAATAACCCACCACTGACTACATCTCTGTGGGGCAATCATCCCACAGAACAGCGTAGAACTGGGCCATCTTTTACCTTGGCATACCGAGTGACTGAAGGAAAGAAATTTTATCAGCACGATGTGTGGCGTTCAAGGAATGTTGGTGATCTTTCTCCTAGGGAGGAAAAAAACAACCCTTTTTAAATCATGAAAAGTAGCGTTTGGTAATGTATAAAATTAGAGTGAAAATAAAAATCTTCACAAAAATGATGTATCGTTCACAATTGGAAAGAGTAGGACAGGTAAGCATAGGCAGTTTCAATAAACTTTGTATCAAGCTAAGAATCTAAGTAGTGTGATGAAGCCCAAATCACTTGGTTTCCTTTACTCTAGGTTTTCTGGGAAAAAAAACCATTGTTGTTCTCTTCCGTGAGGGGATAGAAGGTGAATCACTTTTAGAAGGTGATGGCATCTACTTAATGTTTAAGGTTAGCCCTTGGATTACCTTCCATCTTCAGCATTCACAGTTTTGTCCTGCTATTATACATGGGGAAACAAAAAGATTTCAAGGAACTTATTTTCACTGCAACTCTACTATCAATTTTGTTCTTTCATGGATTATAAAAGATTAATATGTAATTAGAAAAGATGTCAGAATGAAATTTTTGCTTAAGTAAATTTTTGAATTTACTTAATGAAGAATGAAGAATACTAGCACTAAATAATCTAGCGGCCATAAACTTTTTCCAGGAACCTCAAATTCTAGCTGGTAATTTAAACAAAATAACACAAAAACAAAAGAAAACAAAACAGCCTTTAAACTGTACTTTGAAGGGCTCCACCAGCTTATGATGTCGATGAACGACATACACGCTGGGCTGTCTTCACAGTACCCATTTGCTATTAATGCTATAGAGATGAAAAATGAACCCAGAAATGGTTTGGGGAACTTGAATTCAAAAGGAAAAATTAAATCCCACTGAAAGGACCAAGAAGAAATAAGCCTGTTATAAACAATAGTTTACATACTGATTGGACACTAAAGGTGAGAGTGTTTTAATTCCTTAAACCTAGTGTAGCACCCAGCCTCTAAGATGGTCCCCAGTGCTCCCTGCCACTTGGTATTCATGTCCTTATGTAATTCCTTTCTACATTGTACCAGGATTGGTTTGTATGACCAAAAGAATATGGCAGAAGGGATGGTATGCCATGCCTGAGATTCAGTTATGAAAGATTGCAATTTCCATCTTGGTTTCACTATCCATTATTATTGGCTCTAGGAGAAGCCATATTATGCATGGGCAACCCTATGAAGATGCCCACAGGCCAAGGAACTGAAACCTCCTGCCAAATGCCTCGCGAGTGAGCCTGGATGCAGAGCTGCAGTGACAGTTAACATCAGACTCAGCCCCCAGCTGAGAGTTTGACTGCAATCTCATAAGAGACCTAGAGCTCGAACCACCAAAATCAGAGGATCCTATTTCTAAATGTCAGGAACTGTGTGAGAAACTATGTTTGTTGTTTTAAGCTACTAAATTTTATAGTAATTTGTTACACAGCAATAAATAACTGCCATACTTATTTTTCATAAATAGTCATTCATTTCAAACTTTTCTTGGTAACCTGTTATTGAAGTTGAAATGGCATTGTCAAATAGCGATAAAAGTGTCTCAATAATAGACCAGTAGACTTTTTTCTTTTAATAGATCAGCAGACTTTGAAGTACATCTGGACCTAAAAGGATATATTTTCTTTAAATGAGAACTCAATATGAAAGTAGTTTAGAGGCAATTACTACTTGCTGTTGGAAAAATGAGGTAGATTCACCAATGTTACTACAGAGGTTTTCCCCCTTTTCAAGTGGTCTATTAAATCAAATACAACAACAACAAAAGTGACTTGACAGAAATCATCATACCTTGGCCACTAGGCTATGTTATCCCAGAAAAAAAAACAGTACAGTTACAAAGGTGATTTTGAAACAGCAGAGGGGGTAATTAAGAAATTAGGAAGAAAATGTACATATCTTATAAATTATACCTAACAAGTTGAGTTAATATTTAATGATTGCCAATTAAATTGAAAATAACAAATGATTCCGAATTCTCAATATTAACAATTGGTTCATTGATTGAGAGACCCAGGTTGCAATTTCTCTTTTGAGCTAATTTGCTCATTGGTTGAAGCCTAAGGAAGACAAACAGTAACAGACAGTGATGTAGCACTATAAGCCGCAATTCTTAATACCAGCAAAAAAAAAGGAAAACCAATTAAAAACATGGTTACAAGCTTAGCAACTGAAAGAAACTGGTGATAATTTAGATCAGAGAAAGGACTACCAAAAAAAAAAAACTTAAAAGGTTATAGATAAAAGGAAAATAAGGGAAGCTTAGGGAATATAAAAATAAAGTTTTATAATAATTAAGTGTAACTCTCCACATAGAAAAAAAAATAGAGAAAAAGTTAATGTAAATAATAGTTGTAAAGTTTTTTCTCTGCAAGTGCAAATCATATTCAAGCAAGCAAGCAGAGGTTAGTTCTACTCACTGTCAGAAGGTTTGCTATCACTTAGGAAAGGTTGCTGTTCCATGATGTCCATTGGAATTTTAATACTTGGAACTTTTTCTGAGTATGGGCAGTCGGACTGTGAAAGAAATTTACAACAGTTTTTAGAAAGTTTTTACTATACAGTCCTTCCTATCTTCCAGTGTTGATTAAACCTATCATATTATCATTTACATTGTAATAAGGAGAAAATCCTTATATATCATCATTTCTATTTTGCTAACTTTCCAAAATCTACACCATCTTTCCCCCTAATATTTGTTTTCCTCTCTTCTGAGTTAAAGAGACTGACTCATTTAAAACTAGAACCACACTAAGTGGAGATCATTACAAATTGTAATAATTGCAAAACTTTCCATAAGCTGGATCCCCAATCAGCAAATATTTATGGGTTTGTTGCATGTGTAAAGTAAATAGTTTCAATATGAAAGATAAAATTTAGGAAATTACCTAAACTATAATATGGTCCTGAAATTCTTGTTTTGTTTATGCTTTCTGATTCCATCTCCAGCAAAATGATGACTCAGCTTTCCTTCCAAAACAGGTAGAAGACTCTAACATCCACTATCTGGGAGCCCTCTACATATAATTGAAAATAAACTTCCCTCCTTTACACTAATACTCTATCAGAACTATTTCATAGTTAAAGATCGATTTCCATTTGTTTGTACCAAAGATATTTGAAAACTTAGCAAAACATGAGAAATTCAAATTAAAAGGAAGATGCCTATGGTGGTCAGATAAGCAAAGAAGCATAACCAGAATAAAATGATAAAACCAGGCAGCTAATCATGAGGCCATCTAAGCCAACCAATAACAGATTTCCACAGGATTAGCACTTTACTTTTTTTTAGAATTCATTATATTGAAGGCAAGTCTATGTTTGGATTAAAAAGATCATATTCATCTTTTAACTGAAAGTACCAAGAGATAGCTTTCAGTTGAAAGAAAACAATGGGAACTAAGATGCAAAAAATATAAGGAAAAAATAAATCTTAACATAAAGCTTAACATACTACACACATTGAAAATTCTTTCATGATGAATCTAGAGAGGATAATGAGCCACATATTATTTTAAAGGACTAAGATATTGCATTAAAATTGACCAAAAAAATGAAAATGCATCTACTTTTATGAGAATGTCAAGAGGAACAGGTTTTATTACAGTATTTCGAACATTTCCCCAAATAACAGCATTTATAGATAAACAAGCTGGCAGCCAATCCTTAATCATTGCCTACCAGGCAGGTTCAAAAATGATTGAGTGACTCAAAATGTTGGCAAGTCATAATTTTCACTACTTCTACTCACAAACATTAGAGCTATAATTCTCATGACTCCATGGTGCTTCCTATATCCATGGACGCCATGACCCATGATTATCAGGTGAACAGTGGGGGAGCCATCCTCCAAATGTGGAGGCCCCAAATAATGAACTTAGTATACAGATGTACTCTAATTTGCCTGCTTGTATTCACTGTCTAGGACAAATATATAAACTTGTTTGTTTTGGTGAGGGTGCAGAGAAGAAGAGAAAGAGGAAAAGAAACAAGTATCACACATTATCTTTAAGAAATCTGTTGGGAACATGGAGCTGAAAATTGTAATTATTAGTAAAAAAATTGTTTAAATAAAATATAATTTGTTGAAAATCAAATCTAAGAATTGGAAACTTCTTAGGAGCTCATTTGTTCCAACTTTTGACATAAGAGAGCACTAAATTTAAAACACTTTCCAAAGTTAATATTTTATTTCTAAAAACCATTAGAGAAGAGGATTCTATAACATTACTTCATATGTTCATGATGTAATGAATTTTAAGTTTGGCGTCCAGATACATAAACTGAGGTACTTGTTCTGAAAATTCAAGATGAAATACTGCTTTAATTATTTCAGTATTTCAGGCAAATCTTTTTGTTTGTTTGTTTTAGGTGGTCTAAAAATTTATTTCAAATTTTGATATCTATTCAATGTGTAAAAACATCATTCTTTTTAATAATGAATCTTAATCTGTGCTGCAGTTTAAATGCATTCTCTCTCTTTTTTTAATCATCATTGGAAACAGAAAAGGTATATACCTGTTCTCATTGAAGATGAATAAGGACAGTAATAAAAACTTCCTCAGACTCTTTTTCTCTATAGCTAAATGTGTCTTGTATATTTAGCCTTTTCTTATTGGATCAATTTATCTGAAATCCAATTTTGTCCATTGCCTTCCTTCACTGTAGTATTTTTAAGTCCTCTAAATAGAATACAATCAGACAGCCTGAACAATTGGAAATAACCAGACAGGTCTGGATTAGTGTTGGTTTTGTCACTGTGGCTGTGTAAACTTAGAAAAATGACTTAACATTACTCAGTCTAAATGTCCTTATCAGTAAAATAGGAACAAAAAATATATACTATACAGAGCTGTTATGGCAATTAAGGACCAGAATGCATAATCAGTCAAAATGATAAAGTACAGAGTAGACATCAAAAATTAACTACACTCCTATCCTAGAATGGGATACCAGGAGTACAATTATAACGGTGATGTTGCGCTGTTAAAAAATCCAGAACAAGTCTTCAGATAGAAAATGTCACTACGGTAGTCCTTTCAAAAGTCTCCTGGGACAATTTGTGTGTGTGTGCATGTATGAGTCTGTATGTGTATGTTAAACAAATCTGAGCTTTTCTTCTAGCACTCATCACAGACACCTACTGGAGTACCTGTATTTCTGTGATATGGTCTCCTAAAGAAAAAAAAAGGCAATAATTTCATTGCTCAACTTACTCGCGCAATTGCAGGAGGACCATTTAGACTATGAGACTGATAACTACATATAAAAAGAGCCCCAAACCAATTTCCTTTCCTTTTCAATGAAGGTTTAATGAGAAATAATCCTAAATCACATCAAAGCTCAATTCGAGGATAAGTACAATAGCAGAGAACATTGGTTGAGAGTCTACTCAAAGGACACATAGATCATAGGAGGTAAAGTCACCAGTGCTTGTCCACAATAGGTTTATCATTACACTAATCTGAGTTATCTCAAATTTAAATCTTGGATTATCAATAGCAAATCAAATACACTTTATAGCATTACTAAGTGAACTTCCTTTTTATCTATAAGATTGGAGATCCTTGTTCTTTAGGTGTGGTGGCCTTTTTGTTTTGTTTTGTTTTTAGAAGCTATTTTATCATTTTTAGTGTACTAATGGTTAAAGAAGGTTTTCAGAAAATAGAAAAAACTGAAGAGAGAAAATAAAAGGCAAAGGAACATGAAGACTGACATACAACATGGCCAGGGAAACATTCTCGGAATTCAGCCATACATCTCACATAAGAGATAAAAATAATAAATCACATTTGTTTCTTTAACTAGCTTTACTTTGGAATTTTGGAGAGTTTCTTACATCGTCGTTGTCACTATCCAGACTTCCTTTCTTCTTTTTCTTTTTCTTTTCATCTTCCTTCTTTTTCTTGTCCTTTTCTGGAATGACATCATCGAGGAAGCTGAGGTCATGCTGGGAGAAGAGGTAGTCCATGCCTTTTCTGACAGCTACAAGTGCCAAGATCTAGAAGGATAATTATTAAAAAGTATGAAAGAAACTTTGTCTGATGAAGTCATAATGACCTAAATCCTGCCCTATCAAAGGCTATAGAAACCTATTGTGTATAAGGCTAAAGGATGATGGAACTCATCTTGCTTATATGAACTATAAACATTTTCTTTATGGGGAAATTTGGTTCATAAAAGTCTTAACTGAAACTCACTTTCTTTTGTTCACTGAAACATATGATCATATTCACTTAGAATCTCAATATGAAAGGATTAATTTTTAAACCATTTCTTCCATGTCAGATTCTTAATAAAATAACTAAATAATTAAAGGGGAAAAAATAGTGTGCATATGATATCTAATTATTTGAAATTAAAAGATTATACAAGGTTTTGAAAATCTTTGTAACATACAGTATACTAAGACATCTTTAATAAAGAGGTAGTGGCTAAGTATGCATAGACCATTTAATCTACTGGATGACTTCAAACACTGCCATTAACTGAATACTAACCATGTGTCAGATACTGTACTAAATTCCTAGACAGTATTTTTTTTTTTTTTACTTATTCCCACAACAAACCCAAAGAGTAGATATTATGATCTCCATCTTATAGCTGAGGAAATTGAAGCTTAGAGACATAAATATGTCACCCAAAATCACAAAGTCAGAAAAAGGAAAAGTATAGAGGGACCCAGCTGTCTGCCTCTAAAATCAGTATTCTTAAACTTTGTATCTTTGATTCTCTGAATTGCTCTTAAAGAGTAATTTTTGAAGGTACATTAAAGATGTCTTTTCTCAACAGTAAAATTAGTATGCACTACAATACTAGTTATGACTCTGCCTCAAATAAACAGTTGCTTTTATCCATATGCTTTCTAGATGTCAGTTTCTTCATTTCCTAGAGAAATTAATAAATCTGCCCTACCAATATTACATGATTGTTTTGTGCTCAAATAAAAGATCACAAAAGATAAAATATACTTTATAGGAAGATGGCGTAGAAGGTACAGGCTATGCACTCCTCCTCTAGTGATCACACAAAACAAAACTACAGAGCAACCAGCATGCAGAGTTGCCTGAGGTCTGGCTGAACAGAAGCCCTACAACTAGGGACAAAAAGAACAGGTCACCTCAAACTGGTAGGAGAGGTGGAGATGCGAAATGGCCCAGTCTCACCACTGCCTGTAGTGATTGAGGATCAGGAGGGCTATCTTGGCTCTAGAGGCCCCTCCCCTAGCTGGGGGGTGAGGGGTCCAAGATACACATTAGGCTCCCCAGGCCAGGTTTCCAATGCTGGGAAGAGAAGTTCCCACAACCTCTGGCTGTGAAAACCAGCAGAGGTTGTGGCTGAAATAGAGGGCTGCAGAAGTCACAAACATTCCTCTTAAAGGACCCATGCCCAGCCTTATTTGCTGACAGACATGCTCGCTCTGAGCTGTAGTGCTAGGGCAGCTGCTCGAGGTGTTCCAGGGCCATACAAGGAGGCACTGAGCTGTCGGGCTTCAGGGCAAGGGCTGGAGAGGCAGCTTTCTCCTGGACATAAGTTCAAGCAGAAGCTATTGTTTCTTTGTTGAGCCCTCCCCACTCCCTGCCTACAGACACAGGCACTGCTGTAACTGAGTCACCATCAACCTGGATAACAGAGGTTGCTCTACCCAGGAAATTCCCTGAGACTCTGCCTCTCCCAACTTGTGGGCCCACCCAAGCCGCTTCCAGTAGTTTATTCCATACAAACAGGCTGTCTTGGCCCCTGCTGTGAACTTGCATAAAATCTCTCAAAGGCTCATAATACCCAAAGAAGCAGCATCTGACCTTGGCGTGTCCTGTACCTCTTGCTGAGCAGCCCCAAGCCTTGCACTAGTAGCAACTGGCCTCAGTTACTGACTTGGCCCCTTGAGGCACCTACAAGTCCAGCAAATGTGGCAGCCATGTGTGGGGTGCTTGGTGACTCTTACCAGGCAGCCTCAGAAGTAAGCGGGCTATAGCTAAATTTGGCCTGCAGCTGGACCCCTCCTGCCAAGAATGTGTTCTGGGCCCCACAGCACACCAACTACATAAAGCTACTCTACTAAGACCAGGAGACTTAGAAGCCCTACCTAATACATAGAAACAGACACAAGAAGGCAGCAAAAATGGAGAGACAAAGAAGCATGTCCCACATGAAAGAACGGAACAAAGCTCCAGAAAAAGAACTAAACAAGATGGATAAAAACACTCTACCAAACACTGAGTTTTAAAGGTTATAAGGATGCTCAAGAAACTTAGGGAAACAGCAGATGAACTCACTGAGAACTTTAACAAAGAGATATAAATCATAAAAATGGAGATGGAAAATATAATGAGGAATCATTCAGAAATGAAGAATATATCTGAGATGAAGAGTACATTAGAGGGAGTAGACAGAGTGGATTAAATGGGAGATTGAATCAGTAATTTAGAGGATGGGGTACACCCAGTCAGAACTGCAATAAAAAAAAGAACCCTCCAAAATGAAGATAGTTTAAGGAACCTCTGGGACAACATCAAATGTAACAACATTCACATCATATGGGTTCCAGAAGGAAAAGAGACAGAGCAAGGAATTGAAAACCTATTTGAAGAAATAATGACAGAAAACTTCCATAACCTGATGAAGGAAGTAGACATACAAATCCAGGAAGTTGAGTCCCAAACAAAATGAACTCAAAGAAGCCTACGCCAAGACACACTATAATTAAAATGACAAAGAATAAATTCAAAAAGAGAATCTTAAAAGCAGCAAGAGAAAGGCAATTAGTTACCTACAAGGGAGCACCCATAAGACTGTCGGCTGATTTCTCAACAGAAACTTGCAAGCCAGAAAGAACTGGGATGAAATATTCAAAACAATGAAAACCTAGGACTAAGATTACTTTACCCAGCAAAGCTGTTGTTTAGAATCAAAGGACAGATAAAGAGCTTCTCAGACAAGAAAAATCTAAAGAATTTCATCACTACCAAGCCAGTATTACAAAAAATGTTGGAGAGACTTAAGAAGAAAAAAAATATGTATCAAAAATCTAAATAAGGAATGACAATAACTACAGATCTATCAACAAGTACTTCAAATGAAAAAGAATTAAATGCTCCAATCAAAAGATAGGGTAGCTAAATGAATAAGAAAACAAGACTCTTACATATGCTGCCTACTAGAGACTAACTTCAGATTAAAAGACACACAGACTAAAAGTTAAGGTATAGAAAAAGATATTTCACAATGAGCCTAGAAGGTAGTGTGCTGAGTGGAGTAAGTCAGATAGAAGAAGACTAATCCCATATAATTGCACATTTGTGTGGAATCTAAAGAACAAAACAAAACAAACAAACAAAAAAACAGAAACAAATTCATAGATACAGAGAACATTTTTAGGGTTACTAAATGGGAGGGCAGTTGGGGAGGGTAGATGAAAAAGGGGGAAGGGATTGAGAAGTACAAATTTTAGTTACAAAACAGTCATGGAGATATAAAGTATAGCATAAGGAATATAACCAATAATATTGCAATAACCATGTACAGTGTCAGAGGGGCATTAGATTTGTTGGGGTGATCGCTTTGTGAGTTATATACATATCTAATCACTATGCTGTATATCTGAAACTAACATAATATTATATGCCAACTATAACTTAAAAATAAAAAATACTGTTAAAAAAAAGCAGTTTTAGGTAGTTTTTTCTCGTGTGTTTTCAAATGACTCTACTTGAGGATATTCAAGCTTTTACACAAGTGAAATGCATGGGAAATGTAATTTACCACCAAACAAAACAAAACAAAACAAAACAAAAACAAAAAACCAGTTATCTTTGAGGAGAATAATTTTAAAAAATACTTTATAAAGGTAAAAATAAAACATTTCTTTATTATTTAGCACAAGCAATAAGTGATTTACTGAATATATTTCAAATTTATCCAGGTCTAACTTTGTTTTTTCCTGCTTTAACAAAATGAATAGATAGGTAAATTATACCAATAGACAAATAGGAATCATTTCTCACATCCAGTGTGTTTTCTAGTAAGTTAATAGAGTTTAAGAAAAAAGAGAGAGAGAGAGAGAGATAAGGGATCATCAAGAAAAAAAATATATATCTGACTCCACAAATATCACTAATATGTTATACCATCTTTTCTGCTTCCCTGGAGGAAAAAACAATTATAACAATTATAAACAACAATATCCATAAAACAAAATAATAATCCTGGCTAAGAGGATTTTTATAAAAAATAAAATATATTTTGTGTATGAAAATTCTGTTTCCAAAGCCAGGGGGGAGACAGAGCACACATGAGGCTGGCTTTGTGACTTGTTTGACAGGAATATGTATTTTTTTGCAAGAAATGGAAAGCTATGGTAAAGTATAAAATTGATAATAAAGTCAATACAGAGCTAGCATTTCCCTTTTTCCTTCTTTCACTTGTAATTCAGAGTAGAATATTAGTTATTTTACCTTGCTTTTCATCATATCATAGGAAGGACAGAGAGCTCAGACTTAAACTTACCATGATACAAACTAGTAAGAACTTCAAAAACTAAACTTCCCATTCCATTTCTTCTAATTCACCGATGACCTCTCATAAGTTGCCCATTTTTTCTGTACTATTTGGACTGAAATGTGGCATACATTATTATTTAGATTCATACTGTTATACAATAGTATTTTAAAAATAACTAAAGTACATGGTGTCTACTATGCACCAGGCATTGTGCTATATACTTGATATCTATCATTGATGCTCTGAATAAGAATAATAATGCTATCCACATCTTACTGATAATTTAATGGCAGCTCAGGGAGGTTCACTACCCAGCACAAACCAGACCCGGTATCTGAACTCTTAAGTTTGACTCTAAGATCCAGACATAGGAACCTAAAATTATAACAGATCAAGTCAAACTGACTTGGTCAAAACTGGAAAAAATTAGAACCACACATGTGTCTTCTATATTACGCTAACCACATGATATTCGTGTGATCTCATGGGTAGGTTCAACTAAAGGAATCCCTACCATGACTGGAAAAATGATAGCAGCCACAGTTGACTTGAGGATCCAGAGCAGGGCTAGACATAACACCTGCAAGAAAGTGAACAGGTGGACTCTGCGCAGGGGGACATGGCGCAGGTAGATAAAGTCAGGCTGATGCTTTAGGGGCATCAGAAGCAGCTTCAGACGATCCATGAACTGGGGAAGAAAAGGGAAAAGAGTACAACTAAATTACTTCAAGAGTTGATACACAAAGTCATTACTATTATGCCTAAATATTCCCCAGTGATCTATATTCTGTAATTTGGGAAAGCAGTGTCTTTTTCAAAGGACACTGGTCAGGCAATGCAGAAATTTAGTCTAGCACAGTAAGACATTGTATGAGTCTTCCAGTTTTTATTGTTACCTTGCAAGAATGTTATGCAGATATATGAGATAAAGTGGCCACCAAAGAATAAAGTCAAATAAAGTCACAAAGCAAAATATAAATTCTAGATGCTCATCTCTTACATTCTATTTATACTATCTGAATCTCGGGAGAGGGGATCTTGTGACTCTTTTAGAAACGATATGCTGAAGCAAGACACATAACTAATGTATCTTACTCTACCTTCGATGTCTTATCTGAAAGAGGAGGAGATGCTGCTATGTTTCATATACATTTCAGGAATATTTCAAGAATATAAAGGAAATATCCAACTTGAAAGTGGGAATACATTGGTATTTTCATACATTCTACATTATCTATGGCATAACTTAACTAATATATTCAGCAATATATTACTATTTTTTATAGAAAAACCATATGAATACTAATTACAGTGAGGTTCAGAGTGTCAACAACTAGGTATTTTGAATCTAGGAGAGGCTATCACATTGTCATGTACAAACAAGTATTAAAATGACTGCTGATTACATATGTGCCAGGTGCTGTGCTTCAAAGAATAACTTCTGATTTTACATTAATGAAGATGATAAGGTGATATTTAAGTGCCAGTCATAGGATCTTTCGAATGAAAGATGCTCAGTAAATAGTTGTTGAATTGAATTATTATATAATAATAACTCTGAAATAATACCTTTGCTTGCTCTCTGGAGGGAAGGGAGAAGTATAAAAGTAAATAGACTATCACAGACAATCTTCTCTAAGGTGATTTCCTATCTAAAGGGTTTCCTTTCTTCCTCCAGGGCTATTTTTGACTAGTGGGGTCTTTGCTGTTCATAAAAGTTGAGTTACAAAATTTCTTGCTAAACAAATCTTGCCAAAAGGGCTAAAAGAGGAAGAATCAAGAGAAAAGGAAGGAAAAAGAGAAAAGATAATAGAGATAACAGCGCTGCAAAATTTTAAAAATCTACTCTCTTTTTCTTCAGCAAAGAATTTTCCCCCACATCATTGTGAAATTGATTTTTTTCTACTTAATTTAATAAACATATACTGAGCTTGAACCATCAATTAAGCACCTAGAACACATTAAATCAAACTTTTTATCTAGACTGACCTATTAAAGCTAAACAAAAATAAAAACTATTAGTTTGGAGGCCATGTTAATTTCATATTTTTTTTCATTTAGAGGAATAAAGACTATTTAGAATGCCAGGTACGAATGAAACATTTTGACATATTTATCTTCCCAAAAGTTTCATGGGAACTAATAAACCCACATTCATATTCGTGTAGTCCTATCTCTGAAGAACCACCTTGTGTTTTGTAACAAATATCCAAATGGTGAAGAATTCTGTTCAATGGACCTAAATAAGGAAAAATAAAATAGCTTTTTCTCTTTTGGAGAGTCTGGCCACTTGCCTAGCTCTATCTGATTCTAAAAACAAATTAATCTAAATTCAATAAATGAAAGCAAGGACTATTATGAAGGGGTTTAAATAAATTCTTACGATGTTCAGAGAACATGCAGTCTTTTCCCATTAAAATATCACTAAGTGCTAAATAAGGCTACAATTAACAAGGTGCCAGAAAGCAGAAGTACTTCCAGTTTCCTGGTGCGAATTAAATTAAACCTCAACTGAAAGACAAGGTCCCTTACAAAGTTTTCCCTAATGATTTTTTTAAAAGGGGGCTAGTTTTACCCAAGTTGTGAATAGCTGAAGATTTCAACAAAAGTAGCATATAAATCACACTGACTTTATTCTTTTATTTGTTGAAAACTTTTGATCATTGATCTTAGCCATGTGAAAAGCAAATCAAATAAGAATAGCCTGATCTTAGTATAGAATAAAGGCAAATGGATAAATAGTATCTTGACAAGTACACTAAAAGGGTTAGATTTCCTTTTCGAGACCAAAAAAAAAAAAAAAAAAGAAAGAAAGAAAGAAAAAGAAAAAGAAAAAAAGAAAGAAAAGGAAGGAGAAAGGAAGTAAAGTAAAAGGAAGGAAAGTCATAGTTCTCTTACCTTCCTGGTCAAATGACCTTTAACATCCTATTTTAAGAATGGGTACGTATGATAACATTTGTTAACACAGCTAACTTTGTTAAATCAGGAAATGAAAAGCAGGTAAACAGCGGAGAAAGTAGAAAATAAATGCACTTTAAAAACTTAGAAAATAATTAGCAATTTTCTTTGAAGATCTACTATTGGACTAGTCTTACTACTAGAAAAACAGGAGTATACTTAGGTTGATATGAAACACTTACCTGGACACCATTAAGGGATGCTACCCCCATATACAGGAACACGCCATAGAGTACAGGCATGGGAATAAACTAGAAAAGAAAAAAAAATGGAGCAAGGTTTTAAAACAATAATGATAATAATAACAGTAACGGAGGATAGTTTAATTAAAATTATTGAATGGCATTGGTTAATAAAATCAAATAGGTTTTAAGTGTATAATTCAATACTATATCATATGTATATTGCATTGTGTGTTCACCACCCAAAGTTAAATTTTCTTCTGTCACCGATATTTGACCCCTTTTACCCCTACTTCTCTCCCTTCCACCCCCTTCCCTCTGGTAACCACCAATCCAGTGTCTGTGTCCATGAGCAGGATAGTTTAAATAGAAGCTAAATCTGAAACTAAAAGATAGGACATAATAATATAGTGATTGCAAATTAGCGTGCTTTACTCATCGTTGATAAACTTCTAAACCTTTCATACTAGAAATAAATGAAAGAGGGTGAAGACTTTCAATTTTCATTTGATGCCTGTTGGCATTTTTTTTTTATAATGGGCATGCATGGCCTTAATAATAACTTTGTTTTTTAATGGAGAAAAACATTTGTTTCCCTTTCCCCTCAAAAGAAATGACTATGTAAACCAGATACTTGGAGGGACTGTGAGGTAAAGAGGTAGAGTCATCTCACTCCTGAAACCAAGTTCTTTTCTCAACAGTCTGGTGACTTCTTTCCTTAATAATTTTCACCAAATGATCTATCAATCTGGTGTTTAAATGTTTCTTTTAATTAAGAAAACATCAAAAGACTATCCTCTTTCTTCCTCTCAGGAATATTAATAAAACTAACTAATGAGAACACTGCTTGAAAGGAGCATCGAGCATCTGGAAGCTATTAATTATACACACGGATTAATATACAACTTTAAAAATTGAATTAGCACATTTCATGTCTTAATTAGCAAAAACGTTCTTTACATTAATACAAGGTATTTTAACAATGGCAAGTTCCAATATGACTGATGTTCATAAGTTTTATCTGTTCCTAGACCTTTGAAATGTCCCTGGTATCGCAGAAACTAAGCAAATCAAGAAACACTGTTTCTGAGAAGTATTCTATCTGAACTGCAAAAGGTTCTCAAGCTTGTATTTTGAAAAAAAGTTCAACTAATTTCAGGAGTTTTCAAAGATAAAATACTAAACTGCAATCAAGTCCAATCTTACCAAATCCACATAAAGGAAGCTATTGTAGCCAGAAAACAGTATGACTTTAGAGTAATATTTAAAGAATTAATGCCTTGTATTAAGTGAAGCACAATTTCTATCAGTCTTTCCTTGTGATTACCTAAAACAGTTCGGTATCTGAGACCCTTCAGCCACTACTGGGGAAACAGTAAATTCTGAAATGTCACAACATTCTCCAATTGTTATTGGTTAGCTATAGAAATTATTAACTTTATATGAAATAAATACACATATTTATATAAAACATCACATATTTCTAAAAAAAACAATTTTAACATATGTAATTTAATCTTGAGCTCAGAGAAAAATAAGTGACATTGAATGTTGAAGGAGGTAGGAGGGATGATTTAGGTAGTGAAGAAGCCATGTTTGCTGTAATTGCCAACAGTCACCACAAAGAGGTGAACACATCACGTTCAAGTCATTTGAGTTCTGACATGTGTCTTTATTTCCTTTCGAATGTGCATGTTTCCATTCATTATGATTCCTCTGTACAAATTTACCGAAAAATAAAAGTAAAACTAATGAAGGGACCATTTTATAGCTTTGACTCACTTCTTAATTTTTTGAATATCTTTTACAGGTAACGGCACTTCCATTTTTCCTTAATATAGGAAGATTTCCTTCTTGTAATTTTATTTTTAATTTTTTGGGAAGAAAAGAAAGGAGGAAGAGGGAAAGGAGAAGTATAGTTTATGGGAAACTAGTTAGAAACCCTGCAACAGAGTTTTCAATCTATGTAAAATGATTTCTTGGCTTGAAAGAAAGTAACCACAAATCCAGGCCTAATCTCCATCCCTCACCTAAGCTTGGCCAATATTTTCTCTAAGGTACTTCTAATACCAAAGTGAGTAAAAGTTGTTCCTTGATGCCCAGGTCTATTATCTCTGAACTTATGATGACAGATGTCACTGAATCTACCATAAAATAAAATCAGAAGTCAACATTAACTCAGAATGGCATGGAAAATAGGTAGGAAAATAGCTTTAAGATGTTTTTAAAAAATATTCTTTAGTGAAAAGGAAAGTGTATATAAAAGAAAGGCCGTTAATTAGATTTTTGGCCAACTTCAATGTGATACAAATTCTTATGAAATTCACCATTTTCCTTATGATAATGCAGTGTCTCAATAAATACTTTCTAGTTTAGAAATCTTGGTAAAATTTAAAAGAATAACTGGGTTGGAGGATACATTTTATTGGATTTGGTTCATGAGTCACATCAGAAAGTCAGCCTTTAAAAATTCATCACAATAGAAATATCTCAAAAGAAGTAAAAAAAAAAAAAAGAATGGGATTTCCAGTTAAAATAATATACATAGTAATAGCACGTAGACATTTTTCCAAAGTGAGACAGGAGAAATTAAAATATAAAAAACACAAAGTATATGATATTCGCAGGCATATCAAGAATTGCCAAATGATAAAATTATGCAAAGAGAATTATATAAATCAGCAACAAGCTCAGGAAGCCAAAAATATAATTGTAAATAAATATTATAATGCTTTTAATAAATATTAAAAATGGAAAAATTAAGTGCTTGATCCTATAACCAGATAGAATTATGAAAATGAGATGAAGTCAATGAAGATGAACATATTTAGACCATGTCACTGAATTTTTCAAATTGTGGTAACTGTCATTCTGGTGTTTTTCACTTATCCTTCTTTTGACTCTGATAGTGTTAGATTATTCCCACAAGAAAAAATGGGAACTACTATTAGATTCACCACCACCATCATTATCATCTTCTTCATCATCATTATCATTTCTCTTTGTTTCCCAGTTAATGAGCAGAGTGTGTAACATATTGTAGGTCAACCAATGTTTGTCAAATACAAATTAAATGCTATCCTCTACATTTTAGAACACTAAACAAATCTGGAAGATAAAGTTTGACCATTCCTCATGTTAAACTAATTCAAGCAAAGGGAACAAAAGTAGCAGTGAGTTTTACAAGATCTTTATTTCTTTATGTTTACCAGAAGAATGAAAAAAGCTCAAGGAACTATCTTCATCTTTTTGCTGCTCTTTTAGTCTCTCCAAGTCTCTCATACAAAACACTAGCTTAACAGGCAAATATTTCCACTATAGAAACACAGATCCAAACTGTTTCACCGGCTTGGGAAGCCAGTTATGCCAGTTTCCCAACAGTTCTGTATTGAATCAGTGGTGAGATTTGAGGTATGTAAGACTGTAGGTGGCTAAGATCAAGGGGTATACTTGTGAACTTAAAACTAGTACATTACGATTCCCTATGCCATTAAACTTGTGAGGGAGGTAGGGAGCTGGGAGAGAAGGTGTTGAGCCATTTCAATTTAAAAGTAAAAGTCACACATCTCTATTGCTCTCATTTATTTGAGCCGCCTTTTAAGGTAAACTCTTAAGTAAGACCATTCTTTAAAGTTGTCACCTGTTTCTTTAAAACAGTGTACAAAGCCACGAGTTGGGGGGAAAAGGATTCCCATCTGCAATATGAACCCTAATATCCTTTTCTGTGCGAATTTTGAGGTTAATTGTTAATCTTGACTTTTAATTCTAACTTTAGACTTAGTTGTAACTTAGGTTTTAGTTTAACTATACCCTCAACATCTGCTTCTTCCTGTACTTACTTTTCAAATGAGCTACAAGGATTTGGTGGTAAATGCATAATACCTTAGCAAATGTTAATGATAAAAAGGACACACAATCTAAAATGAGGTGACTTTATCAGATATGGTTCCTGAGGTAAGGAATATCCTTAATTACTAAAGGAAAGAATCGCAGTAGTAAATGCTGGACTAGTTAATTCTTGTTTCTAAATCTAGCTTTCCCACGATATGTAGGACACTATATTAACAAAACAACTTCACGTCCCACATTTTGAGCAAAACCTTGTCTCACAAATATGTTTGCTGGACTGCCTTTTTCACTGATTCCTACAATGACTTTTTGCATTGACCTGAAGTTGTAAGGTGTAAATGGCCACAATAATGGACACTAGCAACTGAATGTGGGTGAGTCAAAGTATGAATTATATAAAGAAAGTCAAAGGAAAAGCAAGCTCGTCCCCATGGATCCCTCACATCTCTCTCTCTTTCCTCTGTATTCTAATCTGCTCCTGTAGCTACTAAAGTACTTTGCATATCACGGGCAAAAAGAATCATTGTAAAAGAAAGAACAAAAAGTCTTTTAGCTTTAATTCCTCTGCAGTCATATTTGGGTGCAGGATGAGAAAATAGTTAAGAAGAGGCGTTGTTAAAAATGTGAGTCTGCATCTCTTCCTAAAAATAGCAATTTATACAGTATCTGTTCTCTGTGTCCCTTTGGAATCATACATGATTAGTCAGCTGACAGATTCTCCAAGATTAAGGCCAATTTGCTGTAACAACTAAAAAAAACCTTTTAAACACATCTGGCTTTTTAAAATTAGGAATTTATACTGTATTAAGGAAAATAAATAACATAAAATAAAGAAGAAGATGGGTGGGGGATGATGAGTAAATTTGAACTGAGGGAAAGACCCCTATTATCCCTTACTAGTGGCTAAGCACAGAGATCCCATGAAAGAAACTGCATGTGTCATTCAAGCCCACCTCTAGGGAACTCAGGGGCAAATTCATTCCCAGTAGAGCTACCCACAACATGGGGTCATAACTGCCTGCAATGACCTCTCTAAAAATGAATCTCTCCAGATGAGGTCCCACTGCGTATGTGGTAAAAATCTGTCATTAGATATTTCTATGATCTGATGTGCTCGTGTGTTTGTGGGGCAACAGAAGAACATAAAGCATTTCAGTAGTGGACATGATGCTATGAAACACACAACTTCAACCCTACCCCACAACTCACAGTGTCCTGGCAAAAGCAACAACAGATTTCCCTCTGTCCCCACAGAACATTACAATCTGTAGTCTTTTAAGGTTCATAACCAGAAATGACTTCTTTGAGATTATTTTTAATTTTACTACCCCACGTGTTACATGAGATACATATTCCTTCGTGATCACAGTCAGAAAGGAATTAAATCAGTTAACTGACATTGTGGAAACCAAGGATGAAAATGAATACTTAAATCTTTTAATTGTTTACCAGGTATTCTGTGCATAATGTTTGCATTAATCTAAATTCCCTGAAGGTAAAGTCAGTTTTATCTATAGATTAAGAAATTACAGGTCCATTTTCCTCAAATTCGTCTGATGGGCAATTGACATATAAATGTGCTAACGAGAGAAATGGAGAGCTTTTGCCTTTCACTATCTGTCCTTCTGTATTGTTTGAATTCTTTATGAGAGTGTACTGCTCCATTACTTGTATAATCAAGCATTTTAAAAACCTTAAAAATTAGAATTTTTTAAAAATAAAATTTTTCAGAGAAAAATTTGGAAAGGTATTCTTAACAGTGGTTGTTCAGAGTTCTTAGGTATATAGGTGATTTTCATGCTTTGCATTGTGGTCCAAAGCATTAAGATACAAAAAATATCAATAACTGCCTAGTAATGTTTATATAATAGAAAAAGAAAAAGAAAATGCTTATGTCGCAAAAGAAAACTGGGATCTTCATGACATGTATATACTAATCTGTTTTAGTCCAATTTCTGCTTTTAAATAGACTTCCACATATTAATCTATTCAGGCAGATATTCACCCCATTAAACTTACACATTGACTCCAAACTTTCTAAATAAACTACCATATCATTTTTCTTCGTCAAAAGTTTAATTGCAAGTTTTCTAATTATAAATCAGTAATATTACTCTATTCACCCTTTCTGAATATTAGGCCTTCCTAATCAAAGAAAACAGAAACGCAGTCAGCAATAATTAAGAATAGGAGAAAAATTACAAAGTAATCATCCTGAGTCACTCATGTTATCCAAGAGTTTAATATGGAGAGAAGGCAGGTACAGGATTTAGGAACAAGTAAATGGAAAGTGATACGAAGAAAGGATGTAAGAAGACTAGTGGAAAAAAACACAAATGGTCAGATGTAAAAACAGTCATGGGGATGTAAAGTACAGCATAGAGAATATAGTCAGTAATATTGTAATAACTATGTATGGTATCATATGGGTACTAGATTTATCAGGATGATCACTTAGTAAGTGATATAAATGTCTAATCAGTATGTTGTACACCTGAAACTAATATAATATTGTATGTCAACTTTAATTGCAAAATAAAATAAATTACTTAAGAAATACTTTTTAAATGTGGGGTGGAGGGGAGACCAGTTAGATTGAACTTGCAATTTTTAGAAGTCAAAAAGTTTGAGCACTGATAATTTAATATGGTTCAACCAAATAACTGTAAAGAAGAAGAAGAAAGAAGAAGAGAAGAAGAAGAAGAAGAAGAAGAAGAAGAAGAAGAAGAAGAAGAAGAAGAAGAAGAAGAGGAGGAGGAGGAGGAGGAGGAGGAGGAGGAAGAATGGGAGTAAAGGGATGAGAAGGAAATCAATAAATGTTTTTTAAAGTCCTCATTTTATTGACATCTGCTTCAGTATGTTAATAGAACTGATGAGAATCCTGCAGCTATCTCATAAAGAATTCTACTCTTCACACATTCAATATCTGTCAATGTTCTGGGAATGAGGAAGAGGTGAGTATTGCACATATTTACCTTCAAGATGGGAGCCATAAAGACTGACAGACCAGTCAGAATAAACACAAGGGTTCCAGTGACTCTTTGTTCCCTGAAACCAAATCAAAAGATTACCACTTCTTGTTTTCATAAACACACTCTGTCTTTCTACCTTCTAAAACAGCAATGGTGTTGATATCAGATGTAATTAATACTTCAAGAACAGCATATAAGCTCAATATAACTATAAAATTCTCTTATTTTATTATATGCGATATGTAATTTGAATTCATCCAGAAAAAACTGATTCTGCTAAATTCTTTGCTCCTTTTAGAATCAAGAAAGAAAAAAATCACTTGCTCTTGGTCCATCAATTACTGGCCTCTTTGAAGCCCTTATTTTTTAAACAACTTAAACTGTTGTGTAATTATACCTTCTTTCACAGGAGACAGATAATACATTGTCTCACATTCTAATTAATAAATAACTCAGGGAAATTTCATAAGTGCAATAAATCCCATTGGTCTAATTTCCAAATCTAAGACAACAAAAGTACTTTTTAACAAATATAATTCCCATACAACACCCCCTCCCCTGGCCCTCAAGAAAGAATCACCCACTGTTGTGGCGTGGGAAATGATGGCTCTGTCATATGAGCTATTCGCCCAAGCACTTAGTAGCAGCATTTGCTGCAAAAACTATGCAACAGCATATAAAGGTCTTGTACAGCCCTTCATGGTGACCCAAATTTAACAGCTGGAGGTCAAAGTTTCTCAATGCTTATGGGGACAGAAAATGAACTAGAAAATAAGAAATTTTTTCCCTTCATAGAACCTTAAAATCATAAGCAAACTCAAGAGTTTTAGGAAGTCTCGATAGAGCTGAAAGATTAAAGGGTCTGGCTTTTATATGTGATTGTGATAGACTAAGCACCACAGCACCAAAAGGACATGCATGTTGAAGAAAATGAATGACCTGCTTGCATTTTCACATTGTAGCATTTAGCCTTTCATTAATTTAAGGAATTTATGTATCATAAGAAATGTACTCAAAGAATTATTTGAGGACTCTCTGATGAAAAATTTAGTCCTTTCTAGAACAGCAAGTACAGGAATAAATTATCACCAGCCCTTTCCCCTCCATATCTGCCTATGTCCTTATGATTGGCACATGAATGTGTGCATGATGTCTTTTATAAAGCCATTTTCCTCTGACTTAACATACCTCACTCCGAGAAACTTTGGTTGTTCTCCGGGTGCAGAAGTCTCTGTCTCCATCTTCAAACTGTCGATGTGAGCAATGGAAATGACAGTAGCAGCCACGTACCATGGAAGAGCCATAAAGGAGCACACCACCATGAGGACAGCCACCCAAAAGAGATCCAGGTGATACCCAGCTCCTTTCTGTAGAAAGAGGTAACGAAACCATGTGGATAAAATACTCATAATGCTATCTAGTCATATTTCCAGATTTTCCAGATGGGAATTAAGATTACTAAAAGAAACCAACTTACTTTACATGATAAAAAATATCCACTAGTAGGTTAGCTCCTCCAGTGAGGGGACTTCATCATCCTCACATTATTTGCCCTAGCAATTAACACAAAGTGGCCACATGACACCTCTTCTAGCTTGATTTATTACAGCTTACTTATTATTTGTTTAGTGCATTCAATTTTGTAATCAGAACAATGGAGATATACGTCTACTTTGAAGAGTTATTTGGACCAATCAATGAAGTAACAGGCAAAACGTCTCGTAGGAACTTAAATGGTAGTGGTTGTTACAAAGTAAAGCTCAACAATGGTCATAGTAGCAATCATAATATTGGTTGCTGTTAACCTAAGTGTGATAAGCACCTTAAAAGCAAGCTCTATGCCTTCTCTGCTTGACTATTTAGCAGTACGCTGTTCACCTAGACAGTACTCAGCATATGTAGACTAAAGATCTGAAAGCAACCTTCAGAACTAATGTGGAAGACCACTTCTCACCTCTCATAGTATATGAAAATAACTTTATAATCTATTAAACATTATCATTAAGGTAATTAATACTCCCCCTCATCAGAATAGGCTGATTTCAAATATTGCCCAATGGTCACAATAACATTTACTGACTGGAAGAGCAGACAATTATAACAAAAGCTCTGGCTCTTTTACTCACTAAATAAATACTGTTAAATGTGCATACAGTGTTATTTTACGGTTATATTTCTCTGCTCTGTTTGCAAAGAAATCAAACGCTAAATACCCCTATGGAGCCTGAGAAAACAGAGCAGTCCATTTTCACAGCATGAAAGCAGCAGTGCCAAGAGTCAGAATATGACCAATCCAAGGGAATAGAGACATTGACTTTAAGAAATGAGAATGAGATTTACACTAGGAACCCAGTGACTGTTTTGGTTCAGATCCTGTTACAGTTAGTCAGAACACTTCTCTCTTCTCACTGAAATGCCGAGATTTCACCCTTGGCTCACACACATGGGTCTAATCATGCATGGTCTCAGAGAACTCATCACAGGCAAGGATAGCTGACACAAGAAAGAAAAGCAGATATTACTAGTCCAGGTTTGACTAAGAACAAAAAACCTCCTTGGGAGACAAAGCGATTAAAATATATTCATAAAACCAGTTCATTTCAGTATAAGTGGTCTGAAAATAAAGCTTAGGTAAGGAGGTAGGGTAAGGTAGCAGCATACTGCTAAGGTAGGGGAAAAAAGGAAAAAGGCAGGGATGGCTGAATTAAACACATTCAATAGTGACTAATGAGGTTAATATCGTGATATATCTTTCATTCATTCAACAAACACTGACTACCAATTTACTAATAGGCGTAGTCCTAGGCATTGGTGACACACTTGCGAATAAAACAGACAAAAATTCCTGCATTCATGGAGTTTCCATTCTACTGGAGGAGATAATAAACAACATAAATAAATAAACTACACAGTATCTTATACAGTAATAAGGAGAACTGTAAGAACTTGGGCTTGTACACTGAGTGCAGTGGGAAGCCATTGGAGAGTTTTAAATGAACGAGTGACACAGTTTGCTTATGTTCTAAACACTATGGCTGCTGCATTAAGAACAGACTGAAGAGGGTAAAGGACAGTAAGGCCAGTCAGGAGGTTACTGCCCTAATCCATGTAAGAGATTGTGATAGTTAGAACTAGAGTGGTAGCAGTAAAGATGGCAAAAAGTGGTTGGATTCTGATTATACCTAAGGTGGAGCCTACAGAATTTGTTTGTTCCTGCCTGTGGTTATGTCATATGACCTTATTTCAGGCCATTCAGGATCTGGCCTCTGTTCACATCTGCAACGTCTTCTTTCACTTCTCCCCTTGCTTGGATCCTTTGCTATGATCACTTTCAACCACATTCAATTCCTCAGCTATGTCTTACTAATGCCCTTTGTGTCTTTGTCCATACAACATTCCCTACTTGGAATAATCTCTACTCTGCCTTCTTCTTCCCTTGGCTCAGTCCCACTCATCCTTAAAACTTAAATCAGCCTTCATCTTTTCTAGTAGTTTTCCTGCTACAGCCCAAGTAAGATAGTTGAAGCCAGTAAGGTTAGGTCTTCTTCTTTATGTTCCCCTATCTATCACTTTACTCTTTCCTCTATCATAGCACTCATCACACTGTTTTGAAGTTGTATGTGTATTTATCTGTCTTTGACATTAGACTACAAGTAACAGTAGGACCTTGACTTTATCCTGAATACCTTAGGAGACTTCATGATACATAGTCAGTTCTCAATTAATTTATTAAAAATGAATGACAAATAGAATATATACATTCTTCTGAATGACAACTATAAACTCTTAATTAGCCATATAAAAAAATTAAAACTTTGTTAATTGGTAGAAATGTGAATTATTGGTGGTGGGGGAGTAGGGTGGATAAAAGCTAAAACTACCATGTAGTTTTAAGCCCTATTTAGACTAAATTACTCAAGACCATATTAGAGGTACCAACATGGTAATTAATGGGCAGGATCCTCAAATCTTGTCACCAAGGAAACTGTAATAACCGAAAGATGCCCACACTGACCAGATCAATGGGTCAAAAGAATAATTGTTGCAGAAAAAGTCACACACGTTACCCTAAGCTATCTCAATGCTTCCTTAAACTATTTCAGCTAAAAGAAGTTTGAGTTAAATATTCTAGAGACTAGCAAAAAGGGGCCACATAATACCAAAGAGGCTAGAATGAGGACTGTAGAAAGTATAATAAATACAAAGTTAACTGCAAAAACACCAGAATATATAAAAGTTCTGAGACAAAGTAATTATAGACATACAATTATTCTGTGCCTCAAAAGCCTTCAAAAAGTCTTCCTTTTCCTCAACCACAGAGACTTCTTGATGCTCTTAAGAGAAAAGGAAAATCATCAGTGCGACCCGAAGGCCTTGCCTGGTCTGCCTTTATATAGTTACCTCTCCAGACTCAACTCTGTCTCTCTCATGGCAGCTACAGTGGATTATTTTGGACATTCGTTCTTGTCAGGTTACCTCTTCTTGTAAAGCCTGTGCATATGCAGTGATTCCTGTGCCCTACTGGAGCACTCGTCCTACCCAGCCTCATTTAGCTAATTCCTACTAATGCTTTAGATCTCAGTATGTCACTGCCTTGGGGAACTCTTTGCACCTCCCTAGGTCAAACCCTCTCTTAGAGACTCTTAAAACACCATTGCCCCTCCTTCACAGCACCAGACACATTTGCAATATCACATTTTGTATGATTTCTTGAATGCAGTGGGGCTCCAGGAAGACAATGACCACGTGTTTCTTTTCACCATTGAAAAGAAAGCACCTGGCACAGTGCCCAACAGAGCTGACACTCTAAATAAATGTTCATTGGATAAATGAACGAATGTTAATTCATTTGTTCAATGGCACTCTCCAGACCTTAGAAGTAAAACTACAAATAATACACAGTCCTTGCCCTCAAGTGGTTTACTGTGTAGTGAGAGCTGGACAAATCAACAGGCTTTCACAATACCACAGTGTTACAGGCAGGTCTACGATAGGGGTAAGCTCAGGGTGTCATAGGAGCACCCAGAAGGGGTACCCAAATCAGCCTGAAATCAGAGACGGTTTACATAGGAGGTGGTATTTAAGCTAAGTCCTAAAATGTGAGCCATAACTACCAACTGGGAGATGAGTTATGAGGAAGCAGTAGGAAAAAAAAACAGTAAATGAGCTGCCATTCTGAGAAAATGAAATAGTTGGTGCATAGGAGAAAATGGGAGAGGTAGGAAATAAGGTGAGAAAAGTTAAAAACTTTGGTCTTTTGTTAAAAGCTTTGGAAATTTTTACCATAAAAGTAATGGGAAGCCACTGAAGGTTTTTAAGCAGGCAAGTGATATGATCAGATTTCTGTTTTGAAAAATGGCTCTGTCAGTTATAGAGGATATACTATAGATGGTCAGGATTAGAGGCAGAGAGAACAGTCATGGGAACACTCCCATAATCCACGTTTGAGATAATGTAGCTTGAACTGAAGTCACAGCAATGGGAAAGACAATGGACAAACGGGAGAGATTTTAAGAAGATTCAGTCTAAAGAGGGAAAAGCAATGAATTTATTGTGCCAAATTTCAATGTTCAAGGCTTACAATGTCGAGTACAGTGTCTGACATATGGTAAATACTGGAAACATATCTGTTGAACAGAACTGCGAAAGAAATGCTAAAAAATTCATGGTGTCCCAACTATTCCCGTAAAGATCCCGGAACCCAAATGGTTATATTAGAGTTGGTCCTGCAAATTAAACCTATACATATGAAAACAAGCCACTCTTAAGATGTCTCTTTTAGGCAAAGGTATTGAATAACTTGATATAAATGGAATGAAAATATTCAAATATTGGTACATCTTTGGAAATAATACTCTAAGAAATAAATAAAACAGCATTTTTTTCAAATAACATGATGGTCTTTTGTTCCTTACCCTTCTTCCCCAGTGCCTCTGCCTTTTTCAGAGCAGCCCCTTGACCTTGTTACAAGCCCCTCTTACTTCTTGCACCCCTCCCATCCATCATTACTATTGCCAAAGTAAGTATCTAAAATGCAGCTCTGATGCCATCCATCCAGGCTGAAATACTGAAAGAGCAGGGGAGGCCAGTGCAAGATGATCGGGCCAAGCAGGACAAAGAAGGTAATGATGAGCCTGGCTTCTCAGGCTAAGGCTCCCCACTCTGCCTGTGATGGGACCCTCAAGGACTCCTGAACTTTTACCATTCCCTAAATGTGCTTTGTACATTCTTCACCACTCTTCAAACCAGCACTCTGTTTCTATGGCTTGACATTTGTTTAAATCCATCCTTTCCCTTCAAGGTGCAACTCAAATTCACCCACTTCCTTCACACACCCAGCAAACTTCATCTCTTAATGCCAATCTCA